GTTTAGCAGCCCCCTCGCCCCAGTTCCCATCCCCTGCCTTCTAGAGACTCAGCTGAAATAAAACTGCTCATATCAAGAGCCCCACTTAGGGAGCTGAAGAAGTTGCAGGGTGTCCTCCTCCCAGTGCCTACCAAACCCCTATCACCCAGGTCTCAAGCACCCACATGAGCTGCTTCCCTCTTAGGCATTCACAGACCACGATCGACCCGTGCCATCTATTCACCGTCAACGTGAACGGGGCACCAAGCGTGCCCTGGCACAGGCTCTGGCGATGCAAAGACACAGCTCTTATCCTCAAAGAGCTCATAGTTAGGAAGGGGCCCGATGAATGACTAGACACTCCGGGTCCAGCAGAGCAGTGCCTTGCCATGCAGCGGGGTGGGGGCGGGGTGGGCTTGGAGGGGAATGCGGAGGAGGGTGTCCATCCCAGGCTTGTTGAGGCGGGGGTGGTCAGGCAGGATTTCTAGAATGCGTAACACAGAAGCTGTTCCAGGAACACACGAAGAAGTTAGGCAGACAGTGAAGGGGTCTGCTCCAGACACAGCACATCCCCACAACTTGGGCCTGGGCCACAGCAAGCACAGAACCCCCTACCCATCAGCACAGCCCCGACAGCAGGCAAAGGGGAGAGTCACCTTGGGGCTCTCTCTCCAGGGTGTCCTAGGAGGACATGTGCTTGGAATCTCTGAGGATTCTAAGGATTTAGGGGTCTTTGGAGGAATCCAGTATGGATTCTCTCATGCCTAGCTCTATGTTAATGGAATATTTGTGACTACATAATAAATAGAAAAGGTTCTCAATACACAGGTCTCCTGGCATCCGGGTTCCACCTAGCCTGGAAGCAATCACTTCAGAGGCTCCAGACAGAATCAGATCTTCTGATCAATCCTCAAAAAACCTTCCCCAAGCCACCAGTGTGTGTGTTTGGAGCACAGCGCCATCACCCGTGTGCATCGGCTGGGTCTGTTGGCCGAGTCGCTGCTGGGTCTTGGCCATCGGTATGCATAATTCACAGCCATGCAGCTGCTGCAGACACCCAGTCATGTAACTCGCATAGGAAGAGCTGGCTCGCATTTCCTGGCAGTCATAATCAGCACCACCACTCCAGCAAAGTTGAGTTCAAAAATGCTTCTAAAACACCTGCTGTGTGCCTAGAACCTGTTTCATCTTCACTCTGTCAAAGGTGCTATTTCTTAGTGGATCAAGAATTGAGTTTATCTGTCCCTCTATCCCATTCTACAAAAGTTTCCCAAGTGGGATAAATGTAAAATTTTTTTGAATATGAAATTTGCAAAATATCACTAAGAGGGGCTGGGTGCAGTGGCTGTTGCCTGTAATCCCAGCACTTTGTGAGGCCATGACAAGAGGGTTGCTGGAGACCAGGAGTTTGAGACCAGCCTGAGCAACATAGCAAGACCCCCTTCTACAAAACAATTTTATAATTAGCTGGATGTGGCAGCATGCACCTGTAGTCCTAGCTACTTGGGAGACTGAGGCAGAGGATCACTTGAGCCCAGGAGTTTGAAGGTTCAATGCGCTGTGATCATACTGCTGCACTCCAGCCTCGGTGACAGAGTGAGACCTTGTCTGTAAAAAATACACACACACACACACACACACATACACAAATACACATACAACAAATTGCTAAGAGAATGTGCTGTCTCAGGCATGGTGGCTCATACCTGTAATTCCAGCACTTTGGAAAGCCAAGGCAGGTGGATCACAAAGTCAGGAGTTCAAGACCAGCATGACCAACATGGTGAAACCCTGTCTCTAAATAAAAATACAAAAATTAGCCAGGCATGGTGGCACACTCCTGTGATCCCAGCTACTTAGGAGGCTGAGACAGGAGAATCGCGTGAACCTGGGAGGCAGAGGTTGCAGTGAGCAGAGATCACACCACTGCACTCCAGCCTGGGTGACAGAGCGAGACTCCGTCTCAAAAAAAATAAAAAAGGAAAACTCAACATTTCAACAAAAACCTAAAATCTTCCTCAACACCAGATACTCAGTATCTCAGAGAAGTACATGGATTTTGAATTCCAAAGGGAGCCACATTCACTACCATTGTTTATCAACCACCCTCTCAGCCGTAGGATTGAAAATAACCTTTACACACTCTGGAAGCTTCAGAAGTCCTGAAGTCAACACTACTCCTTCCAAATGGAGGAACCCAGCAAAAGGCCCCCTTAAGCTCTGTAAAACCCCTTGACCAAAAAAACCTCCTGTTGGCAGACCAGGAATAGGCCTCATCCGAGCTACACAGTAACTTTTCCCAAATGTGGTATAATCCCGGCTACTCATTTACCAGAAAAGGAGAAAAGCCCCAGATGGTAATGATGGCTTCAAGTGACACTACCAAGGTGTGAAAGGAAAATAAATCTTGAGACCCTGAAATCACTAAGCCAAAGGGAAAAGCCAAGCTAGGAACCTGCCTCCCATTTTATTCCTACATAGGCGGCTACAGAGATAAAAAGCTACTTACCTCCCTCACAATTTATCCACCAGAAAATTCTTTGTGGGCTTCAATTTCTTTACCCTAAAACAGTTCTGCTGGAGTTCACCTGGCAATGCAAATGAATACGTGACAAGATACAGGACAAAGGACAGAACTCAAGTCATCCCTCGGCTCACCTGAGACAAATGCATATCTGATTGCTTCCTCTGCCCTATTGTTTTTTAAAAATGTAGATTCAGGCTGAGCATGGTGGTTCACGAATGTAATCCCAGCACTTTGGAGGGCTGAGGTGGGTGGATGACCTGAGGATAGGAGTTCAAGACTAGTCTGGCCAACATGGTGAAATCCTGTCTCTACTAAGAATACAAAAATTATCCAGACGTGGTGTCGGGTGCCGATAATCCCAACTACACAGGAGGCTGAGGCAGGAGAATCACTTGAACCTGGAAGGTGGAGGTTGCAGTGAGCCGGGATCTGGGCAACAAGAGTGAAACTTCATCTCAAAAAAAAAAACACAAAAAACAAAAAACCAGAAAAAGTAGATTCACTGAGCCGACTGAGGCACAGGTGACTCTTCCTCTGCCCCGCTCTCACACATAAATTGTGTATTCAGTGAAAGGCTGACAAAGACTGTAAAGAATGCAACCTTTTGTCTCTTACCTACCTATGACCTATGTCCCTGTAGAGTTGCCCCGCCTTTCCCAACTGAGCTAGTGCACATCTTACACACATTGTCTGATTTCTCATGTTTCCCAAGCCGTATCTTGGCCACCTTGAGCACAGGTCCTCAGGACCTCCGGAGGCTGTGTCACAGATATTTCCCTAACGTTGGCAAAATAAACTTTCTAAATTGACTGAGACCTGTCTCAGATACTTTTGGGTTCACAAAGAAGTGCCTGGGCTGCTTGCGGGAATCCTTTGAAATCTACTGACCACTGGCTCTGCTCGGCAACATGTCAGGCCTTGGGGGGAATCAAAGCCTCTGTGAATTCACAAACTGACAAAGGGGAATGGCTATTCCCAGCTACTCCCCGGCTGCCTGACCTGGCCCAGGCCTGTGATGAAACAGGGGGAGACACAGACACAGGGAGAATCCAACACGAGGCATCGTGCAACAAACTGAGCTGGTCTTGGAGAGCCAGGCAGACAAGGAGCACTTTGGAGAGATGGCAGCTTTTACTTGCTCCTGAGATTTTGATCTGGGGCTTTATCATTTGATCCAGAGATCGGAGGCTGGCGTCTCTGAGAACATTTGAGGTGGAATAAATGGATGGGCAAGACAGAGCTATTCATATCTCAATACGCACCGCGTCCCTGCCGGTGCCAGAGTCCAACTCCGCCCGCACAAGAAGCACTCACCCAGCAACTCATGCTTTGATTGATTTGATTGTCATGGATTGATTCTAGATCCCGGAGAGAGCGTTCCTGCCCCAGCAAGAACCGCTAGGACGTCACCTTTGAGGGAACTCCACCTGACAATGGTATTTTCAGGACTGCTTCCTGGGATGGCAATGCATGCGCGCACACACATACACACACACTCACACACACAGAGGACATTTTTTTTCTGTCATCAAGTAGCTATGGGAGATCACCATATTATTCCCAATTGGCCACCAAATGCATCCTTGTTACCACACTTGTTTGAGGTTGAGTTTGTCATTAGTTACCTGGGACCTTGGCACGTTTTCCTCTTTCTTCCCTCCCTTCCTCCCTCCCTGTGAGGTTAAGAAAATGAAGATAATAACAGTGAAACTCTAGAGAGTCCGCAGGCTTCCTGCAGAGTGCTTTAGGAATAAAAGACATTGATGTTGGTTTTTTCCCCTGAGATTGAAACGGACTTTAAGGAGGGCTGCACCCTTGACGGAGGCACCCTGGGCAAAAAGCCAGAGCGCCAAACTGACCCGTGGAGACTCGCGGGGGCGGCGCCCCGGGAGGAGATCACTGGCATTTCTCTACGGGGTACTGTGAGACGTGAAAGTCACCTGCCTCTCTCTCCCAGCACCTAGCAAATCATGCCCTGGAAGTAAGACCCCCTCTGCCCCATCCACAGCCTCAGTTCCTTCCCGGGGGTTTATTGGGGGAGGGAGTTAACTGGGGGACCCCCAGAGGACCCTCCCGGCTGTCACAACCACGTGTCCAGTGACACATGGGTTGTCCAGAGCAACCCAAAGCCAGTCGTTCTGAATTTTCCCTGCATTGCCTGCTTGTCTTGAGGTGCTTCTGTAGCCCATTTGGGGCATTTCTGTATGCCCTTTTCACTTTCCCCTTTACTCTGCCAGCAGAGGCTTCTCCAAGGAATGCATCCCCCCTAGTCTCCCTTCCCCCGACTCCCTCTCCTCTCCAAAACACTCCAGCCTATCCCAGTCACATGCAAATGCAGACATCTCTCCTCTGGAGTGGATTCTAGCGTATCCTCTAGTTGCCTGAATTACAAAGTTGGTCCCTTTGTTAAAGCATTCCTTCACCGGCTCCGCTTGCCGGAAAGACTTTTAAGAGAGAAGAGGAGACAGACCCCAGGCGCAGAAACTCGACCTACCGCGACTTGCTCCTTGCTTTCCTCAAAGAGGTTTTCTCTCCAGCCCTGGACTCCCGTAGGATCGCAGCTCTGAGCTCCCTGAACAGCTCCGGCCTCCTTTAAGTTCCCAGGCAGGGGGTGGGTCGCTGGCCCCGGCTGGGCGGGTTTCTGTGCGGCAGGAGGATGCCCAGTGGACAGGCCCATGAGGGAGCTGGGGCGGGGCCTGTTTTTATAAAGCAGGGGAGGAAGTTCGCACAGTACATTCTGGCTTCGGGCCAGGCTGATTATTCACAGACCTGATGTCATCGAATCGCAGGAATTTGGGAGTCGGATGGGACCTTAAGAATCATCTTCCTTTAAAATCCTGATGTCCAAGGCTTAAAGGGACTCTCAGGACCTTGTGATGACAAAAAGTGTTTATAATTCTAAAGGCACGAGATAGGGCTGAGAGTGGGGTGTCTTCTTGAATCTGTGGCCGTAGCTCTGGCCTCTCAGGATATGACAGGCTAAAAGGACTGAAGGATGCCCCAGGATTGGAACACTTTGGTGGCTGAAGTGCAGGGGGTTAGTCACAGAGAGGGCAGACTAGCCTGGCTCACCTGCGATAGGAGGCGCCCCCAGGGGAATTTACTCCAGTAGGCATCTCGGACCCAGCTCTGTAATTTTAGGGAGAATCATTTCTCTTCTCTGTGAAGTGCAGGGCTGCAGTAGGTGGCCTGCGGGGACTTTCCAGCTCCAACATCCCCAGAGTGGGCCCAGGAAATATACACAGAGCCCTGGGGGCCAACATGCCTGAAATTCCATCAAAGCCATCAGCCTTTAAGCCCACGGAAGCCTTTCAGTGTTTGCTTGTAAAATGCCCCTGGAAATAGACAAGCCATTTCCCTTGCTGACACCTTTTCAGATGATTAAGAAATAAAAGCCCTGTGGAGTAGGGGAAAGTCTTAGGTTTAAATCCGGCTGTGCCAGTAACTGGGGTATGACCTCAGTCAGGGTTTTCAACTATGCTGAGCTCTGGCTTTTGCATCTGCAGGTCACGTGGGGATCAGAGAGAAGCCGCACATGTCAGGTCCCTGGCACGTCATGGGGCTCAGCAGGAGCATCTATCATCATTGGTTCATGTCTGGCTGAGACCAGACCTTGTAAAAATGAGAAAGAGAAGAAAGAATGCAGGAGGCGGGGAGCAGTGGCTCACACCTGTAATCCCAGCACTTTGGGAGGCCAAGACGGGTGGATTGAGACTATCCTGGCTAACATGGTGAAACCTGGTCTCTACTAAAATTACAAATACAAAAAAAAAAAAAAAAATTAGCCGGGCATGGTGGCATGCGCCTGTAGTGCCAGCTACTTGGGAGGCTGAGGCAAGAGAGTCGCTGGAACACGTGCGGTAGAGTTGCAGTGAGCCGAGATTGGGCCACTGCACTCCAGCCTGGGTTACAGAGTGAAACTCCATCAAAAAAAGAATGAAAGAGAGAGAGAGAGAGAGAGAGAGAGAGAGAGGAGAGAGAAGAAAGAAAGAAAGAATGGCAGAGGAAATTGCGGGATGACCAACTATTCAGGAGAGGCCAGATTTCATACATTCTGATCCTAATATACTCATATTTGTTAAGCTGTGAGTGCTGAGTTTGAAGTTGAAAGGCACCTAAGTCAAACTGCTTTTCCACATTTGTATCAAGCTAGAGCCCTGCTGATGGTCGTTATAGAAGAGGACCACTGTGGATGGGTCACATGCTCAGCACAGGAGGTAGACCTCCCCTGAGCGACGGCAGCTGTGGACCTGTCTGGTGGGCGTGGGGCTGCTTTCCTGCAATGTGGTCTGAGATAGTGAGTGTGGAGGCTTTCTGGGGGTAGGGCATTGTGGTTCAGCAGGGCGTGCTGGTCATGAGGACTCTCCTCTGAAGTCTTGAGGGATGGTTTTCCACTGAATGGTCATACTTAAATCCTGGATCCTGTACAACCTCTATGGAAAACAGAATGGAGATTTCTCAAATAACTAAAAATAGAACATCCATTTGACCCGGCAATCCCACTACTGAGTATCTATTCATAGAAAAAGAAATCATTACATCAAAAAGACACCTACACTCATACATTTATCACACACAATTTGTAATAGCAAAGGAACAGAATCAACCTAAGTGTCCATCAATGGAGGACTAGATAAAGAAAATGCACATATACACCAAGGAATACGACAAAACCGTAAAATACAATGAAATGTGTCTTATGCAGCAACATGGATGAAACTGGAGGCCATTATCCTAACTGAAATAACTCAGAAACAGAAAGTGAACAACCACGTGCACTCACTTATGAATAGGGGCTAAACAATGGGAGACTGAGAGGAGAGGGTTTGCAGATCTTTAGGGGGGCGCCCCAAGCTTTGCTGAAATATGCACAAATGGCCGAGACGCGGTAATACTCTGGAGCCCTAGAAACTGGGGCCTCTGTGTTCCTTCTGAATGTGCGATCAGTTTCCCTCGGTCTGGGGAAGCCTGAGAATGCAGAAGTAGGCGTGGGCAGGCTGATACAGTGACAATGGGAACCTTGATTTTAGTCAAGGGATCACTTGGAGGAAAAGAAAAGAACAGGAAAAAAAAAAAGGAAAATAAATCTTGGTGACCTCACATCCTGGGAACATTGCATCAAAGCCCTTTCTTTTCAAAAAAGAGAAATAAAAGCCAGGCCTAGATAACACAGAGACAAAGTGGGCACAGAAAAACTGGACAGAGAATTGCTGCAGGGCTTTTCCCAGCCTGGCTGTTTCTGCAAGGGGTGCCTCCACAGAATGCATGAGTAATGGAGGCAGTGGGGAAGAGAACAGGGGTTGCTGTGACCTTTCTCACTGAGGCAGGTGGCAGGATGTACATTTGAACGAGAGCCATGCTGAGACTCTGCTCAGCTGGGTGAGAAATGATGTGATGTCTCTGGAAACTCAGGGAAAAGAAAAGCGGGCAAGAAACTTATGACAAGGTGGTTTTGGACCAGAAGGCAGACATTTTGTGACCAAACTAAGAAGGTTTAATTTTGGTAACCACCTGGTTTTGAAGGGAATGGGGTAAATTCATGATGGATCTGAAATCGGTGTTGCTGTTGCATGCCTTGTCTAGGTCTCCATCTAGACTGGCCATCCCCAGCCCTGGGGCCACGGACTGGTATCCATCTACGGCTGTTAGGAACCAGGCTGTACAGTAGGAGGTGAGTGGCTGGAGGGTCAGCGAAGCTTCGTCTGTGTTTGCAGCCACTCCCCATCACTGGCATCGCTGCCTGAGCGGCGCCTCCTGTCAGATCAGCAGCAGCACTAGATTCTCATAGGAGCACAAACCCTATTGTGAACTGCACATGTGAGGGATTTAAGTTGTGTGTGTGCTCCTTATGAGAATCTAATACCGGATGATCTGTCACTGTCTTCCATCACCGCCAGATGGGACCACCTCGTTGCAAGAAAACAAGCTCAGGGCTCCATCGATTCTACATGATGCTGACCGGTTCCATTATTCATTACATATTACAATGTAGTAGTAATAAAGTGCACAATAAATGTAATCGTCTTGAATCATCCTGAAACTGCCTCCCCTTCCCCTGTCCGTGGAAAAACTGTCTTCTACAAAACTGGTCCTTGGTGCCAAAAAGATTGAGGACTGCTGATCTAAATAGAATCCCATGCTGGTAACAGCACCCTTTGTGTGAATTCCACACAAACGAGAATCATCAAAACAGGACAAGCTGAAGGCATGGGAAGAACCCTTACAAATGCTTATTCTTGTTAAGAGCTGCTCACCAAACTGTAGGAGGAAGTCTTTATTCTTGCAACTCTTTGATAAGTCTGAAATTATTTCCAAATATTAAGTTAAAAATTGGATTATTCTCTTGGAGCAGTAATTATTTTGAATATTTAACCCACTGAAATGCATTTTTTAAATCCTCTACAAGATAGCGATGGGTCCTCAACATTGTGTTGATTATCTAAAAACTGAAAATAAATGCCAAGAAATGGGGCCTAGTAGACTAGGACGTGTTATAATAGGCAATATTGTGTAGCCATCGTGATGACTAGTAACGTAATTATCCCGACATATCAAAATCAATCACAAAATTGCCTTGCTCAAAAGAAGAAGAAAATAAATTTGTACTTGAGCTGGGATATAAATAATGTAGGCCAGGCACAGTGGTTCACACCTGTAATCCCAGCACTTTGGGAGGCCGAGGCAGGCAGATCACTTGAGGCCAAGAGTTTGAGACCAGCCTGGCCAACGTGGTGAAACCCCATCTCTATTAAAAATACAAAAATTAGCCGGGTGTGGTGGCGGGCACCTGTAATCCCAGCTACTTGGGAAGCGGAGGCAGGAGGATTGCTTGAACCTGGGAGCTGGAGGTAACAGTGAGCCAAGATTGTGGGACAAGAGTGAGACTCCATCTCAAATAATAATAATAATGTAAACATGACATAGATGTATGGATAGAGATTAAAAGAGAAATTAGGTGTTGGAGTACTGTCATTATTGGTGAATTGTTTTTCAGTTCCTTTTGCAATGCTTCTAAATGGCTTTCATAACAGTAGACGTACTGGCTCCACGTTGGATATGAGTGTGTCTGCATGTGCCCAGCCCAGCACTCTCTCTCTGGCACTGGAAGGCTCTGGTTGTTTACAGGAGCATGTCAGAAGAATAGGAATTTTCCTTAATAAACTATGATGGAGTATCCATGAGTTTATTCAAATTATTTATTTATTTTTTATTTTTATTTTTATTTATTTATTATTTTTTGAGATGGAGTTTCGCTCTTGTTACCCAGGATGGAGTGCAATGGCGCCATCTCGGCTCACCGCAACCTCCGCCTCCTGGGTTCAGGCAATTCTCCTGCCTCAGCCTCCTGAGTAGCTGGGATTACAGGCACGCGCCACCATACCCAGCTAATTTTTTTGTATTTTTAGTAGAGACGGGGTTTCACCATGTTGACCAGGATGGTCTCGATCTCTTGACCTCATGATCCACCCGCCTCGGCCTCCCAAAGTGCTGGGATTACAGGCTTGAGCCACCGCGCCAGGCCTCAAATTATTTTTGAACACATCTCATTTTCAATCAATTCCTTTGTGGAGTGGGTTGAGTTTCTGAGGTTGGCTTACTGATTCTCCAACACAGAACCTTCTTTCCTGCACCTAAATCTACCTCGTTTGAGTCTCCTCACACATCCCCAGCTATCAATTTTCAAATACACTCCCCTGCTGAGTGTGCAGGC